CAAGTTCTCCGCAAGCTGGACTTGAAGCTCTGGATGCCGACAATGGCAAACAGGAGCCAGAAGAAACCAATGAGAAATGCAACGTGCACGAGCAGTGGCGCGGCCTTCTTAAGACTTCGCAGGATAATCTAATTGAGTTAGCTAGATGTCAGCTGTACAGCGGTGAGTGCTATGCTTACAGAAGTACCATTCGTCAGGGCCAGAAGACGAAGGATTCGGAGGCAGCTGAGCATGCTAAAGACATACAGCTGCTGGCGAGTCTCGACCCCATAAACCGAGAGAAAAAAAGAAACCCAATAAGCGATCAACGCGACGAAGTCGAGACGGTTGAACGAGTGGCGGAGAAACGCACGATGAGCCAGTCTCACGCGACTCTTCTGCAACGGATCATCGGCTAGTTGGTGCTCCAGTTGATGTTGATTTTCCAACTGATTTAAGCCTCCCGTGAACGTCCGTATAATCGAAGCCTGCGGCTGCTCCGGAGCGACGGATGACTTTCTCACTGAGAACTGACGTTGGGGGATGATGAGGTTTTTCCCCTTTTCAATCACGGCTTTCCTGAAGCCCAATGATCGGTCGATCGTACTGTACTCAGCAGGGTTGATGATTAAGCCGGACACCAGGATTCTAGCGCCGACCTCGAGGGTATAAATGATGAAGATCGCTAAATAGACATAATCCGTGGGGGCATTGCCCCAATTTACATCGCGAGGGTGACTCCAAACAGAACGAGATGACTCGACAGTCAGTAGGATTGTCTGAATGAAGATCACCAGCAAGATAAGAGGCTCAGTGAAAGGGTGAACCAAGATGTCACACAGCCACATTCGGAGAGCATTATTCGGGCCCAGTAATCCCAGGGACTTGCCCCTCAACGGGTTGCCAACCTCGCGCCACGCCTTGCTATTCGAAGGTAGCTTTTCGTGATGATGAGCCGCCGGGCTGCGAGGCGTGAGGGGAGACGGTGTATCGTGCGCATAGTCTGGTAAGGACGGCAGGGCCGGCGGTTCCTCCATCCGTGCATTCTTGTGCGACTCCTCCCTCAATATCGACTGCTCCACAACCTCCGATTCGTTACTAAGGTTGACGATACGCTGAGACATAGACTTCATCATCGAACTGGCTCGCTGCAAAGCCGACCCGGGGGCCGAGGGAGACAGCGAGCGCGACCTTTCGCCGGGGCTGCTCAACCCGCGCCGTCTGCCATGAAAACCGCCCTCCAGGTCGTCGCCCAACCGTGCATCCGCATTGCCAGCAGCAGCAGCAGCGAACTGGGCTGTGGGCGCACCGTAACCGCCATCGTGGTGCAGAATGTCTTCGGAGCTGGAGGCGCCACCCATAGGCTGTACGTTTCGGATATTTGTCAACGGGGTTGTATCGGTGTAGGTATCGGTGTGGGAGAGATAGTTCTCGGCCCCGTCCAAGGGAACGGTGTCAAGGTCTATACTGGAGCCATCGCGGGTAGGTTCTGGCGTGAGAGAGGCACGGTGCGAGGGGTCGAAGCTGAGTCCGACCGAGGAGATTGCTTGGGCGAATGCGCCCGGGTCATCGATCGTAGCGCCTTCGTCCTCATCGTGGTGATGCGGGGGCACGCCGACCACCCTGTCGATCGGAGAGTCATGCGCGATGCGCTCGTAATTGATCCCGCTGCGGCCTCTGCCGGTCAATGACCGGCTCAGCCTGCTCGCAACTCCACCTGCGGTATTTCTCGGCTCGAGATCAGAGTCAAATGGTCCAGAGAGGTCCTGCAAGGGAATTGAGTGCTGGGAAGAGAGGTGTTCGTCGTCAGTGCCGCGGTCATGGCTGCTGGAAGCCATGGGGGGCAGTTCTGATGCGCTAACCGAACGCAGACATCGCAGGCCGCTGCAGGTCCAGAGGGAGTCGGGAGGATGGGAAGACGCAGGGCTCCCAAACAGCAGTCGAGAGGTGCGTGCGAGGGTGCAAATGCAGGGGGAAAGGAAAGAAGAAATTCACCGCTGGAGGCGGAGGGTGCGGGAAAGAGCTGAGAATTAGTAGTAGTTCGATCAAGTAGTGTACTGAACTCGTAGGTACGAGTACGTAGGCGAAGCAAAGCAGTCTAAGTTGAAAGAGTCAAAAAAGGGCTGAAAGGTGACCGAGGTGGGCTCCCCGAGCGGAAAACGTGGGCCAGGATCCAATCAAAGCCAGTGTCCGACCATGATGAATTCGAAATTCGATCATTAGAATGGAACACTCAGGAAGTCAGACAGATGGGGAATGGAAGACCCAAATTGATCATGTTTTTTTTAGGGATGGGGGGGGGGGAATTCACTCGGTGGGTGGACAGATTGGCAGAAACAGCAACGGTGTATGGACGTATGGACATGATGGACGTGAATTGAGTGTCTGGAACTACGCCAATGCGGCCCTCGACTGGGGCGATTTACCCATCCACGACCTCTGTATGGCTGAAGGGGGAGAGGAAGACCCCCAGCATTTGCTAAACATCCGAGCCTTATAGGAAAAAATGGTTCTAAAAAATAAATAAATAGAAAAACATCATTATTCTGGTTCGATGGATCATTTCCCTACCCGCGGCCTGCCTCATGCTTTCCTCTTCCCCCCCCCGTCCCTGACAGAATTGAGCAACCTATCAGTTATGTATTCCTGATTTTTCTTTGGTACAACGAGTCTAGATTTTCTTTTCTCCTCCACTCTAAACTACGTACGCAGTCCAGCACTCTTCATACCTCCTTTCAAACATCACTCACATCCATCAGTCGAGATCAACATTCCACAATTGACTGAAAGCACAGTACATACTCAGTAATCATAGCCACCACGCGCGCCACACCGAACAAGAAATGGCTGCCTGCGACCAAAGCTGGTCCCCACCACACCTCCGGGGTATCCAAAAATAGAGTCCACTCTCCGTCCATGGAGTTTCATCCATGCAGAACCCGCTAATTTGCGTGTCTCAACTCTCAAGGCGTCACAACACCAGTTGACTCCATATTTAATATACACTCATCCTAACTCATATGAACACGTTAGGGCCGAGAGATAACTGGGAAATTCTAGGCATCATCGAATAAAAACATTTACTGTAACTATTGACAGGCTAAAACTAGAAAATCTAATCAGTCTCCATCCGGTTGTTTCCTTCGGCTGTCGTATCCTTCACGTGGTTCCGCACGCCCTGGAGGAACGCTTCGACAGCATCACCACCCCCTAGCGGAACTCCCCCTCGACGCATGAACCCGCCATTCTCCACGGGGATCTTGAGGGCTTCGCTGATGCTCGGTAATCCACCATCTCGGATAGCCACGGTCAGACTTGCGAGGCTCTGCGCGAACTGAGGCGAGTGCAGAACTTTCCGCAGGATGTCTTTCTTCTGGTCCTCGTCGAGGGATCCCATGGCGGCTTCCGCGATCTCGGGGTCCTGATCAGCTACCGCCGCGTCGTCGATATCTTGTGCCAGGAGGAGAAGCGACGGGGGCAGGAAGCTCAGCAGCTGATCGACGGTCTTGGCGTCGGCGGCCGCCAAGAAGGGAAGCGTAGTTGACGGAGGAAGGAGATCTTGCAGAGTAGTGAAAGGCCGCTCGGGATCTTGGGATTGGCGCGCCCCCCCGCCCAGAGACTGCAGAAAGCTCTGCACGACAGATGAAGGATCCGAGTCAGCAGCGGCCCTACAGGCGGAAAACTCCCAGTCAGCACTCCGTACAGTAGCATATCTATGAAAACTATCAAAAAGCTCGAAGGGTACAGCCAGTCCGCCCAGTGTAGAGATAGGGTGAACACGAGGAACTGTCGAGATATGTACCTACGCTCTTCCACCATCAGCACCGCCCTCCCTCGATCCTTGACCCTCTTCCCGGACATCGCCCCCGGTAGCGTCAGGGCCAGCACCTCCACTGTTGCCTCCGTGGTTGTGGCTGGGGTCGTGGTCCACGCCCTCTACATCCTCCATGGTCTCGTCGTCGTCGCCACCGCTCGAGGGGCCCCGAGGCAAGTTGGCAATCTCTTCTTCGACGTCCACCTCCTCACCCTGCAGCAACGTGTTGATAATCTCACCCAGTCGGATATCCCTGGGGCTGAACCAGCTGGGGTTGCCACCCTCGTGCTGCGACTTGGATTGCAGCCAAAACAGGTACCGTTGCGAGCTCGACGAGAACTTCAGGACGTAAATGCGACCATTGGTGGGGGCAGCGTTGCCAGCCGGCTTATAGGGAGTGAAGGTTCCGTCGGAAGGGACCATCACCAGATCCAAGTCAGGTTCGGTGTGAGGGGCAGTTCTCGGGCGCCAGCAGAAGTGTACCAATTCATCTTCGATGTAGAGGTAGATGTATCCGGGGGTGGGCTTGGGCTTGACAACGTTGCCGGACTGATACACCAGGAGAGAAAGACAGTCAGCATCGGCATCGGAAGAAGGGATGCTATGTTTCCAGTGTGTGGAGGGGAGATCGGAGCTCTGGGAGACAACTCACCTCAAGGTCACAGATACCCGCTTTGAAGGTGATGATTGGGGTTAAAGACATGGTGGGCGAGGTGTGGATGAACAGGAGGATATAATTCTGAGAAGACCTTTAAAGCTGAAGGTATTCCAGTCAAGCAAAGATAGCAACCGAGGTTGCTCTGAGAGTTGGGGGTGGAAAGACTGGTAGGTTAGGATAATAGACAAAAGCTGTACAAAGCGAGGTACGTCAGTTGGAAGTTACCCGCAGTAATGTTTAGGTCGATGGACCAGCTCTCTCTCGGTCTCTCTCGTTCTAACCTACTGAGTAAGACAGAGCCAAGCGAAGTGCATAGTTGTGGTCTGCCGACGACCCGAGCCCGTCGGAGGTGCCGCCTCAGGCATCCAGCGGCGCTATCGGCTCTATCGCTATCAGACCCCCTCCGAATCGGCACTAGCGCCTTTCGGCTAGGGCTCGCGTTCACACAAACTCACACTTTCCCGACCTGGGGCGCAAAGCAGCAAGTCACACATCAACTCCAGCAACCACCCGCCGTCGACAACCACCACCTCCCCCCTACATTCTTTTCAGACCATCTTCGTCCCGGTAGCCAAAATGTCGGACCTGACGAAGCAGTTTGGAAAGGGCCAGAGGACTGTGCCGGCCCAGAAGGCCCAGAAATGGTACCCCGTTGATGACGAGTCGCAGGTCAAGAAAGTCAGTACACCGACATCACCCTGAGAGGCACAGCGCCAGAATCATTCCGAACCGACCAGAGAGGCTTCGAAGATGCGATTTGGAAACTATGGACGAATGCGACAATTGCGCTGGTTATGTTATGAAGAGGAGGAGACCCTCTCCGGGTTCGGAGATCCGGGGAAGATGAAAAGGCAAGAGAGAATCAGGGCCAGTGGTGTCAATCGGACCATGAGCCTTCGAACATAGGGGACAAATCGCATCTTCCGGCCCTTCTGGATCGGCAATGGTGGTTCTGGATACTGTGGTGGAATCGCAATTGGGGATATAGGTCGTTTCTCTAACATGGCCTCTTTTTCACGATTATAGGTCCGCAAGACTATCCGCCCCGCCAAGGTCCGCGAGAGCCTCCAGCCCGGTACTGTCTTGATCCTCCTCGCCGGTCGCTTCCGTGGAAAGCGTGTCGTTCTCCTCAAGCACCTCGAGCAGGGTGTCTTGCTCGTCACCGGTCCCTTCAAGATCAACGGTGTTCCCCTCCGCCGTGTCAACGCCCGCTATGTGATCGCCACCAGCACCCGCATCGACATCAGCGGTGTTGACGCCCAGACCGTTGAGAAGGTCTCCGCTGCCGACTACTTCACCAAGGAGAAGAAGGCTGAGAAGAAGACCGAGGAGGCTTTCTTCAAGCAGGGAGAGAAGCCCCAGGTACGTTTTGCGTCCAGTCGGTCCTCTCCGGAAGACGAATACTGATTCGATATGTTTTTCCCTCGGTACAGAAGAAGCAGGTCGCCAGCGCTCGTGCCAGCGACCAGAAGGCCATCGACCAGTCCATCCTGGCCTCCGTCAAGAAGGAGAACTTCCTTGGCAGCTACCTCGCTTCCAGCTTCAGCCTCCGCAACGGTGACAAGCCCCACGAGATGAAGTGGTAGATGTGTGACGCGGCGGCCGCGGGTTCGGTAGTTTTTGTGTGGAGGAATCCTGTCAAAAGGCGGCTAACCATGCAAAGTCGGCGTTTCTCTCGGTCAAGTGTGGGAAAAGCGAACTTGCAACGCCGGGAAAGGGGACAAAAGACCAAAACAAAAGAAATCAAAAAACAAAACCTTTCATGAAATAAATGTAACTCGATTCAGGCCTCATGTTTGCTTAGGATTGCGGTTTTTTCAAGAACTTTTTTAATGCGGACAAAAAGGACCAAAAGAAACCGGTTTGTTATCTCTTTGTTTCACGAAAACCCCCCCGTTTTGTTTCTTTGGGTCTGCTCTCGTTTGTTTTTGCCCATACCCCCTTTCCCAGCGTGGCCGATTTTGCCGGTATTGATATCACCCAGCCGAAATGAAATGAAACCAAAAAAAGCAGAATACCTCTCTTCCAGCTTGTCTACCTAATTGTTATCTATAAGCTCTGGACCAATGCCAGGTTCTGGCGGCACATCACATTTTCAGAGAAATCCATGTTTATGATAGACTACTATCAGTTCTCCCAGTAGTATCCAGTGTCTCCAACCCGACTTCGTTACGACGAACCTGTTGTTTCGAGTTCGTAGGCCGATAATAATGATTCTAGATAGACTACGACATTCTGACTACTCACCGAAGCACAGGATGTAACACGCTGTATCTACTCATATATAATGAGAACCTCCTTGTAGCGAACCTCGCTAAGCCCAGCCCAGGCTATAATAAACATAGCAACCCACTTCGTGACCAACACAATTGGTGGTATTAATCACTTCTTAGGATAGAAGGGTCTACATTCTGGAATCGGCTAAAGCCCCGGAGTTGTGCGTTTTCTCTCGATCCCTCCTCCCACTCAAGGCAATTTAGATAAGCGGGCCTACGGAGAAAGTAGACAACCCCAACTCCGATAAGAAGATCCCTCTTTTAAGGCTCCAACACTCTCTCTCCCCCACACAGAGCGAAAATCCCACAACAACAACCACTAAAAAACAGACGGAAATCACAACCTTTCAACAAATCATATACAAACTAAAAGAAGAAATCTATACAAAATCTATACAATAGCCTCACTCCCTTTTGACCCCAAAGCCATACAATACATAAACTCATTCATACCCTTAAGGCATGACGTAACGACCAAAAACAATAAACCAACAACCCCAAAGAAACACCAACAACACCAACAACATCCCAAGATCGACCACCCTCACAATCAAGACTCACCCTCCTCCCTCCCCCTCCGCCTCGCCCCCCTCGTAGTCCGCCTAATCTTCGGCTCGCCCGCCCAATAATTCTTAACGCGACGCAGCTGCGGCGCCGGGGGCTCCATCCCCACCCCCACAACCCCCTCATCATCATCCCCTCCCAACGCAACAAAATTCCCATCCTGGTGATCATCAGCATAAGCCGGCAGATCCTCCATTAGCATACCCGCCTGGCGGAGAACGGGATGTTGACGACGGCGATGCTGAGCGCGGCCCTCCTCCTTCCCGCTATTCGGCCGCAGCCGCCGCCGCCGGGGCGGCGAGGGCACGACCTCCCCATCTTCCTCGACGAACTTGTCGTCGACGGCCGTGCCCATCACCCGATCCAGAATGCCCCAGGGCCCGAAGTTGCCCGTCCCCAGGCTGTGCAGGTGCGCTTCCATGTTGCGCGCCATGCCGCCGATGAAGAACCCCGTCGGCATCGGGGAGTAGCCGCTATACGCGAAGGTCTCCTCGAGGGAGACGATGGCCAAATAGACCAGGTAGGAGACCATGTGCAGGCGCCACAGGGCGACGGGGAGGATGGTGGGCAGCCAGCGGCCGATCAGGTAGGCGAGCGGGTGGTCGTAGTGTGCGGTGAGCGGGTAAGGGGCGCGGAGGGCGTGGTACCAGGCGGCGTGCAGACGGGCGAGAGGGTTCTTGGTGTGCAGAACCCAGCGGTGGATAATGTAGCTGAGGATCTATACGGTGAACAAAGTGTGCACGTTAGCGAACGATAAAACCAAACCTGAGGAGACGGCAGGCATGCGCACCTCTCGAAGGATCAGTCCCCAAAAGATTTCCAGGACCAGAGACCACGGGAGAGGAAGCTTCAGCGTCACTCTCACCAGGCTCACCTTACGGAAGCGGCTGGCGAGGGTATGTTCAATGGCACCTTGGACGGCGACGCCCAGGACCAGATTGAAGAGCGCCCACACGGCGACTTTGAGGTCCTTGCGCCGGATCTTGCCCCGTTTGTTGCCGGCGGGGAGCCCATATTCGCCCTGGGTCTTGAGGAGCACGGCGGCCGAGGGTGTCAGGATGTCGAACAGGAAGAACAGGAGCGAGGGAAGAGCATAGCACAGCACCCGCACGGTGGCAGTGCCCACCAGCTCAACGCGGAGAGCCGTATGCGACAGCACCAGGGTCGCCCATGTCATGTAAAAGAAAATCAAATTGACGCTGGTGCCGCAGAAAGCCCACACTGGGGCGATGAGGAGAGAGAAGACCGGAAGCGCGAACAATGGGTGCATTGTTGTGACCGATCGAGTTGATCGCCGTATGAGTAGCGATCAATTGACAATGTTTATTTGTACCAGTAAATATATATTCTCGTATAGCAACGGCGTTGGAAACCTTTTTTTTTTTTTTCGTCACGCGCGATGATGCAGCTATAGTCTAAATCAACAACACCCACGGAGATGGCGATTCTCGAGCGAAGACTATATAACCATTCCGATTTTGTGGATTGAAAGAAGTTGGTTGTGACTTCGTCGGTTGGATAACGCGACCAAAAATCCCCCCCCACCGTGGATAAGCCGCCGGTGCTTGGCCCCGGCTGATTTGGTGCATCGCGCCTTCGCCGTACTTCGCTTTGTTCGCTCACTCAAGCCACCAATTCTATCTTCCTTGTCCCTCAACAAAGCAATGAAACAAGTGCACCAAAGAACATCGGACTTTCGTCCTTGGTTTCAATGGAAACCTGCGCTCTCTACCTCGATTCTCTGTAGCTATTTCTGTGGAGAGACAAGCAAAGAACGTGTCGGACAATGAAGCATGGATTAAGACTACGGCTATATGTACATGTTCTTTAGGAATGAAGATAATAATGGCTGCAAGAATGAGGAACGCAGCTCCGGGTATCTAGGACATAGACCAGGCAACAAGGACTCAAAGCAGAGCGAACAGCACGACACATCAATTGCCATCAGGGTTAGTAGGAAGACCGTGCTTCACTCCCCACTTCCAGGCCTTCCGTCGCAAATCGAAAATCACACCAGGAAAGACCAAGTTACTGAGCCAACCGGTCAATGTGTCTTTGATGATGGAATTCCGTGGGCTGGGTCCAAGAGCCGACCCTTTCATGAGGTCGCCCACGAACATCGTAGTAATCAAGTATTCGCCTCGCTCAAGGGCACTAATTGCAATGCCTGCAACTTCCTGAGGGGACTGTGGCTTGTCGGCCTCCTCCAGCTGCTTAGTCAAAGCTGGCTTGAGTTTCTGTTCGTTGTCGAAGCCTGGGCTCAAAATTCCCATGGGAAAGACCGTATGAATCTTGACATCTGCAGCTGGAGCCTCGCAGCGTGCCTTGGAGGTACGAGAACCATTGTAGATCTCAATCTCCTGGCTGAGAGTATCAGACAAAGAGCGAATAGCCGCCTTGGCTGGGGAGTAGGGAGCGTAGCCCGCAATAGGCACGAAGGCGAGCGTGGAGCAGGTGAAGATGAGGTGTCTGGTTGGAATTGGAGCTTGCCGACTGGGGCTGATAGGGGTAAGCCACCGCTGCAGAGTTGCATGGGCCGTGTTGGCTGCAGTCCAGTACACGGTATCCATCTGATCCCGTAGCGACTTAATGGGCGTCTCGGTGAAAAATCCAGGATGGCAGTATCCTGCGCAGCACCAGACGATATCGGGCTCTTGTCCATCGTTCCATTCGGTGACCTCAGCCATGATACGTTGGCACTCTGCAGGGTCGGTCAAGTCCGCACTGATGTAGTGGAACTTTTGCCGCTCAACATTGTCCGCCACTCGCTACAATCACCATAAGCGTTGAACCTCAGCAAGATCAGCAGGATGACTTACCTTCATGGTCTCAATCGCAGCCTGAAGCTTGGAAGCAGTTCGTGCTACAATCACGACGTTGGCCCCCATTTCAGCAAGCTGACAAGCAACTGCCTTGCCCATGCCCTCGGAGCCGCCAGTGATCACTGCGGTCTACATAACAAATGAATCAGTGCCCTGCTTGAAAGGAATCAACCCATGGGATAGCACATACCCTGCCCTCAACAACGAAATGGTTACGAGATCCGAATCCGAGCATCTTGCTGACGGTATAGATTAGTATTCCGCAGAGGATGGTCGAAACTCCCAATATAGTTGGGGAAGAATCGTAATGGATGAAGGATAGAAGTTGATGCATGGGGGAGAGCAGAAAGGAAGAAATTCAAAACAGATGGAGTGCGAGAGACTAAGAGTCCACAAAGGGGGTTCTTCCTATTCCTGTCAAGAGTGACCTGCTCCTGCTATTTTCAAACAATTGGATTCGAACTATTGTTGACTGTTGTTGACTGTGGAATCTTTTGATGTTCAACTGGAAGGAACAATTGCGGCCTCGGTAGACCTTCCCGTCCCACCCCGAATCAAACGGTGCAAACTGCCCTCCAATCTGCTCTCTTTTCCGGGCTAGCGTTACTCGGGCGGTGAGCGTCCCTCCCAAAATTTTATCGCAAAAGTTTATCGAAACCGGAGCGGAGGGTATAGCTTCACATCCCCAATCCCCATACTACACCTTACCAACGCTCATCATGGGTAAGAAAAGAAAGGCCGGTGGTCGCCCTGCGGCCCCCAAGAAAGACAACTTTGGGCCCTCTAAATTTGACATTGAGGAGAGATTCGATGATTCTGAGGATGAGTTCCAAACCGGTCGCGATCAGATTCTGTTGGAGGAAGCACCAGAGGCCAAGCGTCGTCGCAAGGTAGCTGAAGATGGTAGGCGGACTCCAATCAGCTCTCATTATACTTATAGTACTGGTTCTGACCGAATGTGATCACAGAGGCAATGCTGCAGCCATCGGACGAGGAGATCATGGGCTATGATTCAGCCGACGAGGATGAGGACGAGGACGACGAGGACGACTACCAGGAGGATGGATACGACGACGATGAAATGGACGATATGCCATCGAAATCCAAGAAGCGTGCCGGTAGTCAAGAAGCCGATTCCGAGGACGAGGAAGAAGGCCTTGCCGCATGGGGCTCTTCGAAGAAGGACTTCTACAATGCCGACCAGATCGAAACGGAAGCCGATGCGCTCGAAGAAGAAGAGGAGGCCAAGAGACTTCAACAAAAGCACCTACAAAGCATGAACGAGGAGGATTTCGGCTTCGACGAGACGGAATGGGCCGAATCCGGAAAGGCGGACGATGTGGAGGAAGACAGTGGAGAAGTGACGGAAGTCCTCCCACAAGTCGAGATCACCGAGGATATGAGCACGGATGAGAAGCTAAAGATTCTCAAGTCGAGATACCCCGAATTTGAGCCGCTTTCGAAACACTTCCTGGAACTCCAACCCACTCTCCAGGAGCTCAAGAAGGCCGTCGAAACTTTCAACGCCGATGATGACTCCGAGAACGCTCCCGACTATGCGCCCGTCGCCGTCGTCAAGTTCCGTGCCCTCTCCGCATACCTCGGTACTATCAGCCTGTACTTCATGCTCCTGACCTCCGCCAAAGACGCGTCCGGCAAGCCCATTCCCCTTTCCCCCGCCGAGCTCCGCGCACACCCTGTGATGGCCACTCTCGTCAAGTTCAGGAAACTCTGGGAGTCTGTCAAGGACCTCAGCGAGCCCGAATCAGAACCCTCCGACATCTCCGCAGACGAGCTTGAGGAAGACGAACTCTCGGATGTTTCCGAGGTCGAGATGCCGACCAAGAAGGAGCAGAAGGACAAGAAGCAGAAGAGGAAGACCAAGGCACAACTGGCAGCTGAAGCCCGCCAGGCGGAAGCGGAAGCCCGGAGAGCGAAGAGACTCGAGGAGACCGAAGCCAACCTGGCCGATCTCTCCAAGCTGGTCACTGCGCCCAGCAAGAAACGCGCGGCTCCGAAGACCAAGACGGTGGCTAGGGATGAGGACGACTCGGACTTCGGTGATGAGGATGCCCTCACCGCCAAGGAAGCCGAGGAGAAGGCCAAGCAGAAGCGCTCTCTTCGCTTCTACACCTCCCAACTTGCACAGAAGGCCAACAAGCGTAGCGCAGCCGGCCGCGATGCTGGTGGTGATGCAGACTTGCCTTATCGCGAGCGCTTGCGGGATCGCCAGGCCCGCCTCAACGCCGAGGCCGAGAGGCGTGGTAAGCAGGCGCTCAAGGAGTCCGAGCAGCTTGGTGGTGACAGTGACGAGGAGGATGACCGCGTGGCTAAGCAACTCCGCGGTGGCGAGTCCGATAGTGACGATTACTACGACATGGTTGCAGCTCGCTCCAAACAACGGAAGGACGACAAGAAGGCGCGCGCAGAGGCTCACGCTGCTGCTGCCCGTGAAGGTGGCGAGGTGCACTTCCAGGAGGAGGTCGGGCCCGATGGCAAGCGTGCCATCACCTACCAGATCGAAAAGAACAAGGGTCTTGCGCCCAAGCGCAGCAAGGACTCTCGCAACCCCCGTGTCAAGAAGAGAAAGAAGTTCGAGGAGAAGAAGAAGAAGCTGGGTAGCATGCGCCAGGTATACAAGGGCGGTGAAGGCCGTGGTGGATATGGTGGTGAACTTACTGGTATCAAGAAGAACTTGGTCAAGAGTGTCAAGCTCTAGTCTCGTTTCTCCATTCGATGGATATATACCACTGCTGCTTCTCACCGGCGTTTTCTGTGTGCTAAAAAGGAGGGTTTTTCTTACTTGTACATATATAATCCATTTGATGATACAAACATTGTCCACTATGAGTCTTCATCGTCCACCTTCACTATGTTGCCAGTAGTAGAAGTTCACTAAAAGTACGTTGTCGATCGTTGGGTCAAGACTGTCAATCTTGCACTCCACCTACGAACCCTCAAACAATTTTTCGAGCACATCCTTAACATCAATCAACTCATCATACTCCGAGAGATCCAGGGCCAAGAACTTCCTCGCGAGCGTATCCTGTAATCTTCTAAGTCTCTCTCTCCTGTTAAAGCAGACCGCAAGATTACACATACCGCTTGCTCCAGGACGCGCATCTCCTCAGCCGAGAGCGTAGCGCATGCAGCGATCAAGTTCTCACCACGCGCCGAGAGGGTCGCGATCTCGCTCGCCCGGTCAACAACAGCTTGACTGATACCGTTCATCGCAGCGCAGCTTCATCGGAAAACAATCAGCATAGACCTCGGAGTATTATCACGCAATGTGGGTATGACATACACTGTTCCGAAGCTCTTATTGCTCCGTCCTGATCGGAAGCTGGTTGATAAAAAGCCCAGTATGTCAGCATGCCTACCCACCAAATTCACGTCCAAGAAAGCCGAAAAAGAGACTCACTTGTAGAGGTAAGTGATCTGGTCCTCAGTCTTGTGTGATGGCTCAGATAGTTGGACTTCCATATGTCCTAATTGTAGCCGGGGTCTGGGTCTTAGGAAGCCATTCTCAAGGATCTCGTGAAAGTGCGTGGCAGCAACGACTTTTGGCGAGCTTTCCAGATCAAGCAGGTGTGTGAGGATACCGCAGGCTAGACCAATGCCATCTTTTCATATTCGCCTGGAGCATCAGTTTTCTGTGTCCAGCCCGATGTATGACTTTTGGTTGAAGAGACTGACCGTTTTCGCTGGTGCCTTTGCCGAATTCGTCGATGATTAACAAGCTGCGGTCAGTGATCTGCTTCAGATCGAAGGAGATTTGTTGCAGGTCACGCATGAATGTGCTTTGGATCTGTCTCTCGTGCAGGATAGTCAGTGGGGATCTATGGTTAGTTTTTCGCACTGGATAGGCTGGTTTGTACCTGTGAGACGCTATCTTGAGTACTCGATTTGACTATAAGCTTGTCGGTTATCCCAAGCTCGGCGCTGGCTGCTGGCACGAAGCTGATAAGTCATCTTAGCACTTCGGTGAAATGGTCTCAAGGGAAGAGATCTTCGCAACCTTCCGATTTGCGCAAGGTAGGCAATCAGAGCAACCTGTACACTTAGTATCCGCTGCTCGTTCGCAAGAGGGGAACGAACGTACTTGTTTCATGTACACACTCTTTCCCGAATAGTTTGGTCCCGTCAAGAGAAGCATGCTTGGGCCATGCTCTTCATTCATTCCATCGGGGTTGTCTTGGCACGTCTGACTCGATGAAAAGGCTAGGCAATCCGATGGGGTTCCACCCACCAAGTAGGTGTCGTTGGGCACATACGAAGAAACCGTCAACTCCTGCAAGATGTGCCTTTTGCGATGTTAGATCCGATACATGAATCATAAGTGGCTTCCTTACCGACCACCTCTGATCTTGATGATGTTCTCCGGCACCATTTTAGGGCAGACGAGCTTATAGAAATTTGCTGCTTGAGCCATTGCAAGGAGGCTATGAGCTTAGTGACACGTCAAGTCAGTAAATCGGGGAAAAGGGTTACCTATCGAGCTGGCCACATATGTCAGATGCCTCGAGCAAGCTCCTTTCAAATCGGAGCAATCTCTGCGCGAGATCGTACACTATCTCGATCTCCTTTTCTGGTAGGAAATCAAGAGCGTCAGATCCCATGTTGCGAGCAAGTACAAAGACGAAGAGCGCCATACCGCATATGAGGCCATATATATCACCTAATTTCTCGTCCAGCTCTCTCATTCTGAAGTCCTTGAAGTAAGCTCTGTTCTCTGTGAAGAACATGAGATTCCATTCCTCCTCTGGACCCCTGTAAGCGGCATCACCCGCCTGGTTCAATGGTATCGCGATGTTGAAGCCGAGCTGGGGGAAGTAGATGACATTTACATCGATGTCATAGAACTCGGGAATCTCTCCGGCAATCTCTATGGCAATATTCTTGAGCAGGCTGTTGAGCCCATCATAAGTGTCTCTCATTCGGTCGAGTGCTCGATCGATTCCCGGCTTTACGACTGTTCTTCCCTGTTCCTCTGAGCTATCTATGTCGACCTTCGAAGAATTAGCCAAGGTTGACAAAAGAATGCGCGCGACTTACAATCTCCTGAATCATTCTTCCCACCCTGTATAGCTGAGCTGCTTCGAAGACACGAATAGCCTAAGCCTCATCAGCGAAGGTGCCACTGAGCCGAATATCTGACTGACCCGCTGAAGTAGGGCTAATCCGTCAGCACCAGCACCTTCTCTCAAGGCATCGTATATGTCGATGCCATAGAAGGCAAACTGTCCTGAGTAAGTATTGACATGGGAAATGAGCACTGCGCATAATGACATACGGCCAGCAACGAAGCCCAAACCGTCGTTTTGAAGCCTATGACTTTCCCACTTCCTGTCTCGATGCCCTTGCGCAAGTTCACTATCACATAGCGCAGGTTCTTGATGTGCTTGAAACTATTGGTCAGTTTCTCCAGAGAGTTGTAGTTGTCAGCTCTCAAGTAAGCGCTAATAAAGGCATGTCGTTCCTGGATGACATCGACATCCACACTCGGACGAAGAAACATTTGCTTCAGTCGATTCTTGCCCTGGGGTGTACGCGCAAAGCGCTGAAAAAGGCCATAGACCGATAGACCCTCTTTGGAGAAATTGGACTTTTTGCCTTGGTTCACAATGCTAGGATGGGATTCTGACTCCATGATCTGCAGCGATGAGAGAGTCCTCTTGTTGACGAACCTTCACTGTTATTAGATGTTGGGCTCATAATACAAGCCAGATCCCATCACTCACATCGCTCCCGGCAAGCTGAACATCTCCACAGATGTCACCCGATAGGTCTCCGAAGCTTGGTCGGTAGCTATAGAGGCAGAGGCTCTTCGCCGTTGCAGGTGCATGAGGAGAGCGCCCGCGCAGCCGATCGTCACCGTGTTTTCCATCTCTATCGAGCTCGATATGTGCAGCAGCTTGCCTTCTTGCAGGGTGAAGTCCAGGCTCTCGGAGTCTATCTGCTCACTATCAGCGAACCCATTATGTGGCACGAGGAATCGCATCCGTTGCTCGTGCTTTGAGGATATCCCCAGAGTCACCAGCTTATTCTTTGCGTTCTCGTAGCCGAATTCCTGCGATGGACGGATGTCTAGCTGAAATGGAAGTAAAGACCCGCTCTCTGCACAGTGAAAATTTGTTAGACCTCTGAGGGTTGACGTTTGCTCCCAACATACCGCTGTCTGGATCGATCATTTGTCTATCTTGCAGGGCGTGGGTGTCTACACGAGGTGAGAGCAGAAGCATCGTAGGGCTGGTCTGAAGAATTACTAACGCATTGTCAGCTTTTTAAAATCAACAAAAAGGACAAGACCTACAGCTGTCGATGACTTCAGAGTCTGAATTTCGTAAGTCTCCCAGCAGATAGAGCTTCTCTTCTCGAACAGAGTAGTAGGAGCACCCCACAGTTCCGGATTCCCGGCTATCGATGGCTACAATGACTTGATCTAGTTCATCGTCGGCCGGTTGCAAGGATAGATCACTATCAGGAATATTCTGCCGTGCTTGTGTCGCTTCGTGTGGAAATCGTGGACTGGGCTGCAGGACGCTGGGTTGGCGTATACGCTGCGAGGAGCCATGCATAGCCAACCTGGCGTTAGTAGAGCCCTGGAGAGACACAGACTCATAGACAGTACGCCTTCTTTTCACAGAAGATCTCATCGTTGTGCCAAAGTCGAGATTGAGGTGATTCGGATTGGGTACGTTTGCAGGAGTCTTGACTTATGGAGTAGCAGTGCAAAGCCATCTCACAAACAGCGTCAGCCTAAGGCTTCCAACTACAACAACTATGATACTGGGATTAAGTGGAATGCAGCGAATTTTCATTCAATTCATGTCATATGGTACAATGATACTATAATACATTAAAGAGGAGACACGAGAAATAATAAATCAGCAAGTCAGATATCCAGCCAACCTTGCGCCAATAAGCATACATCATGATCAACATGAGTTAAGAGATAATCATCGCTCAAGCATTGTCGGCTTTAGCTTCAGGAGCAGCCTCCGCAGAAATGCTGAGCCCATTCTTTTCTTCATTGAAAGAAACGCGGGCAGTCTGGCCAGCCGTGACCTCGCCACGGATGATCTTATCGGCCAATCTATTGCCAATTTCCTTGGCAATGAGACGGTTCAGAGGACGAGCACCATACTTGGGGTCATAACCCTTCTCGCAGAGCCAGTCCTTAATCTCATTGTCGACCTTGAGAACCATACGTCGATCATCAAGTCTCGATTGGAGCTCCTTGATTCTGATGTCAACAATGTCTCTCAAAGCTTCGCGGGACAGTCTCTTGAAAATGATGAACTCATCAATACGGTTGAGGAATTCTGGTGGGTAAGCAGACTGCACGACATCCATGACCGATTTCTTGACCTCGGGAGAAAGTTCTGCGCTTCCTGTATCCTTGGAAGAGTACGAAGGATCGGCTCCCACCAGAATTTCGGCCCCAAGATTCGAAGTAAGAACAATAAGAGTGTTTCTGAAGTCAACCTTGTGGCCTTGAGCATCTGTCAAGAAGCCCTCATCGAGGACCTGCAACAAAAGAGCGGAAATGTCACGGTGGGCCTTTTCGAACTCATCAAAGAGCAGCACTGCGTACGGCTTGCGTCGAACAGCTTCCGTCAGCTGGCCGGCATCGTCGTAGCCCACATAACCAGCAGGAGAGCCGATCAAGCGACTGATAGTATGCTTTTCTTGGAACTCGCTCATGTCAAACCGTACAACGGCGGTTTCGGTTGAGAACAGGAATTCGGCCATCTTCTTGCAAAGCTCGGTCTTTCCAACACCGGTGGGCCCAAGGAACATGAACGAGGCTAGAGGTCGATTCTCCCCGCTAAGGCCGGCTCGTTGCATACGAACTGCATTAGCGACTGCAGAAAGCGCCTCGTCCTGGCCACGCACTGACTGTCGTAGCGTCTCCTCCATGCGGATGAGTTTCTCAACTTCACCAGCCATGAGCTTGTTGACGGGGATACCAGTTGTCCGCGAGACGACATTTCCAATGTCGTCAGCAGTGACTGAGTCGTGGATGAGGCTAGAGGAAGTGCCGGCTGTTGCTTCATCGCCTTCTTTGGGTAGTTTGGCTTCAAGACTGGGGATAGTGGCGTATCTCAATTCACCAGCCTTGGCGAAATTTCCCTCTCTCTGGGCTTGTTCCAACTCAAACCGTGCTCGCTCTAGCTCTTCCTTGACACGTTTGAGCTCTTCGATTTCAGCTTTTTCCTTCTCCCAGATCTTAGTCAGCCTTTCCGCTTCCTCCTGCTTTGCTTTCAGATCTTCCTGTAGCTTCTCGCGTCTTTCACGGCTGCTGACGTCGGTTTCTTTGCGGAGAGATTCTAATTCAATCTGAATCGTAGTGATGTCGCGATCTAATTCTCTAATTACATCTGGCTTCGATTCCTGCTGCAGTCGCAAGGCCGAAGCTGCTTCATCCACCAAGTCGATGGCCTTGTCTGGCAGGAAACGATCGGTAATGTAGCGGTTGCTGTACGTTGCGGCGGCCACCAATGCGCCGTCAGTGATCCGTACACCATGGTGGACTTCATACTTGTTCTTGATACCGCGCAGAATAGAGATTGTTGCAGCGACTGACGGCTCGCCGACCTGGATCGGCTGGAAACGTCTGGCAAGGGCCACATCTTTCTCGATCAAGCGGTACTCGGTCAGGGTGGTGGCTCCGCAGCATTGGAGCTCTCCTCTCGACAGTGCTGGCTTCAGAAGGTTGCTGGCATCGATACTGCCTTCGGCCTTACCAAGTCCCAGCAGAGTGTGCAATTCATCGATGAAGAGAATCACGCCGCCTTGCGCGTCTTCGACCTCCTTCAGGACGGATTTCAAACGTTCTTCAAAATCACCTCTGAATTTGGCCCCTGCGATGAGGGAACCCAGGTCCAGGGAGATAACACGCTTGTCCTTGATACTTTCGGGGACATCTCCTTGAACAATGCGCTGGGCCAAACCTTCCAAGACTGCGGTTTTACCAGTACCTGCGGCTCCGATGAGGACAGGGTTGTTTTTTGTCCGCCTGGAGAGGACTTGGATGGTGCGATGAATCTCAGCATCTCGCCCAATGACGGGGTCCAGTTTGCCCGCTTTGGCTTTAGCAGTGAGATCGACACCGAATTGTTCCAATGCTGACTTCTCGGGTTCGCCACCCAGGTTCATCCGATGCGTGCCTCCTGGGGGATGAGGCCGACCATTGGCATAGTTGCGAGAGGGTATTATCGAGCAAGGATTGTGAAGAGTGGTGGTGCTTGATAAGGTTGGTAAAAATCTAGTGCGACGTAATAAAGCTTGGGACGGTTGAAGGATCCGGTTCGATGACGATAGAGTCGAGGGTCGGAGCAACCGACCTCGGGATAGCTGCAGTCTTGCCGACATGGTCGAAGTCAGACCGTGTAGAGGATTTAAGCTCAAGACGAGCTTCAGTCTGTGTGTTTCGACTGTAGGATATGGGTTATATCTTGGAATTCGCGATCAGTCGCAAAGGGAGCATCACCACGACTATATAGCCGGTTGCCCCCCAACGTCGCGACTGTTCTCGAAGGCTCCACTGGGTGAGGAAGTGAGCGACGGTGAGTGGCGGAAGCTCCCCGAACTGGGCCAGTCTTTCCAGACTTGCTTTCTTCCAAGCTCTTCGAATCCGTCCACCGTCGAGATCACGTGCAGCCCCAAAAGGAGGGGCGCTGTGGGCGTCGCCCGAAAAATTTCGACCTCTCAGGCAGGGCCCTGGAGGGTTGAAAAAATTACTTCAGAACACCTTTCCCCTCCTTCTGCTCCTCTTCCTCCTATTTATTCCCTCCTTCTCCCCTCCCCCTCCTTTTTTTCTTCTTCTCACACCACACTCTTCACATTCACATACCTTCACAATGGGTTTCACTGACTTCGTTTCCGACGCCGGCCTCACCCGTATGTCTTTCCCTACGTCTTTTTTTCTTCCTTTCTGTCCCTTTCTGTCTCTAGCAGTCACTAATTGTGCCCCTCAGTCGCCAACAACTACCTGGCTTCCCGGAGCTACATTGTTGGGTAAGGCACTCTTGATGATGTTTACCCCTCTTCCCCCCTCCTGTTCAAGGTTTCTTTCCTCGTTTGTATGATGAAAACAAATTGGTCCGTGTTTATGAGGCGGCTTAAGACCCCGCTGCAAGATTACACAACAATGCGAGCAATCGCGCTTCTGATTTACTTGGAGAAACTTTTCATTTTATTGCATTTTTCTGCCTGAATAATTTTTTCCCCAATTCATCGACACCTTGTCGTACCATATTGATGGACTTGCAGCTAACTCCATTGAAGCGATGCTCCCTCCCAGGCCGATGTCGTGACCTTCAAGGCTTTCTCCGGTGCTCCCGACGCCGAGAAGTACCCCAACGTTGCCCGCTGGTACAAGCACATCGCCTCCTACGAGGCTGAGTTCTCCACTCTCCCCGGTGATGCCTCCAAGGAGTACACCACCTACGGCCCTGAGGCCACCGAGCTCCCCACCAACCCCAAGGACAAGCCCGACGCTGAGGATGACGACATGGACCTCTTCGGCTCCGATGAGGATGAGGAGGAGGACGCCGAGGCCGTCAAGGAGCGTGAGGCCCGTCTTGCTGAGTACAAGAAGAAGAAGGAGGCCAAGGGCCCCAAGCCCGCCGCCAAGTCCATCGTGACCCTGGATGTCAAGCCCTGGGGTATGTTCTACCGTTATTTGACTACCAAGAAATGCAGCTACTAACCAATAATAGATGATGAGACCGACATCAACCAGATGGAGGCCAACGTCCGTGCCATTGAGATGGACGGTCTCGTCTGGGGTGCTTCCAAGTTCGTTGCCGTTGGCTTCGGTATCAAGAAGCTCCAGATCAACCTTGTCGTTGAGGACGAGAAGGTCTCTCTGGATGAGCTCCAGCAGCAGATCGAGGAGGACGAGGACCACGTCCAGTCCACCGATGTTGTAAGTTCTACCGCTTTTGGCCACGCTCATCTTGCGTCCGTACTAACTTCCTTTCTCCTCACAGGCTGCCATGCAGAAGCTGTAAATGATTCTTGATGAATTTGATGTTATTCCACGGGAATTTACTGTCATGACCTTGAATAAATAAATAAAAGCCGCCTAGATTGGCGTGACGAATAATAAAAAAATCACAAAATTATACCCAATTCATTTTTGTTTCTTGCATGATCAGTAGCGCGTAGTCATTGCCCCTCAATTCAACCCCTCATCAGCAAACTCCGGTAAGACAGCTGCAAGCTAGCTGCGAAGCTGAGCCAATGCGTAGCGAGCAACCAAGAGGTCAATGCTGCCCAATCTCGTGGGGCCGTTATCATTTCAGAGCCGCCGAAGTAGCCCATCCCAAGAGCCCGCAGGCACTAGGCTTGCTTGCAGTCCAGGTCATTCCGGTCTACCGTACAAACCACTTCCGCAGATCCGATACACCAGGGCATAGGACGCTACTACCTTAGTATCTATATTGCACTAGCTTGACGTCCTCTCTTGCAGTCACCACAGAGCTTTTCCTGGGACATCGAGCTCCCACCGCATCTTCCCAATCCACCGGCACAGAATGGGATTCTTCTCCCGCGTCCTCACCCTCTTCGGGTTGGTGTTGCTTGCCCACGCGTAAGTTCAGCTTCATGCATCCAACCACCACAATCCCATACCCATACGGTCTTAGCATTACCTTGCAGACAATATCCCCCCTCCCCTCGTCCCTTCCACAACCCACATCGCCTCTACACATCAATAAAAGCTAATACTTATGAACTACAGAGGCTACTCCGCCCACGAACACACCCTCCTAACCAGCAGCGCCAGCAGCTCCCGCCTCACCAACCCGCTCCACTCCGCCACCACAACAACCACGCACCTCCCGCCGGACATCATCATCGAAGCCCTCGTGTCCCTGATCATCGTCTCCGTGGGCCTCGTCCTGGGCACCGAGAAACTCAAACCCATCAGCTGGAGCGAGTGGGCGGGCCAGATCGAGCGCGAGGGCAAAGGGCGCCATCCGTACCGGCGGTTGGAGGAGCGGTATGCGTTCTGGGATGTTCGGGTATGTTTCTTTCCCTTTGCTTGTCTTTGGGGATGGGGATTGTGTGCGATAGGGGGGGGTTTCTGGGGGTGGGGATTGGGGGAATCTGGCGAAGGTTAATGCTGACTATGTTTTGTTGGATTCTAGGCAAAGAGAAAGGAGTTTGCGGATTGGATCCGGGAGTCGGGGGTGGGGGATGATGTGGTTGAGGAGAAGAAATAATTAGGCCTGGTTGTGGTTGGGGTGGATGGGGTTGTGCCTGAAGGGGAGGGGGCGTTCCCCTGGGGATAAAGGAAGAGGAGTGGTCTAGGTAGGTTGTTTAGGGAAGAGGTTTTATTGTATATTATGTTCTCTTTCCTTTCTATGGGAGTAATCCAGGATCTTGTGGTTGGTATACTGGTTTCTTGGTGTCTGGTGGGCTGGCTAATTCATACACGGGGCTACTTACTGCCAGTGCTGTCCCTAAGCTTGGCTCGGGTTGAAGGAGTTGGCTGGACTGGTGAGCTGGGATGGGGTTTGTCTCTTCTCTGCTGGGCAGGTAGCTGAGAACCTTGGCTTCATTCCTTACTGCGCCATGCAGAAGAGACGTGCGAGCACTATACTCTGTGTATATCTACGGGCCCCCCCGCCCCATTCGACGCTCAGGTACATCCTGTCCAATGCCTCAAGCCTATCTCAAACCGAATACACCCACCTAAAAACCCCCCTCGATTCTTCCAGAAGTCCAACCCAAACAGCCTTGTTCAACTCAAATTTCCTTCCCACAAAATACTCAAACACCCCGGGGTTTCATCAGTACGAACACAATTCTGTGTTTCAGCCATAGCCCTTGAGGAAGGCCGGGGGAAGAACGTGCTGGTCCGTATCGTTCCTCATCCAAGAACCGGTGGTCTACGCTTCGCTTTTTCCCTCGTAAAGTAAAGCTGCATGCAGAACAGTCCACGAATATTCTCGAGTTGAACTTGACGATCGGTTTCATGACATGCAGAGACGGAGGCCTGGCCCTGTGGCCGAGGAATCTCAAGTCCGGGGGAGCCAGAGTATCGGGATATACGGGGAGGGTTTGTTTCAGAGGTTATTTAGTGCAGATGTGGAAGTTGGAGTATCGGTATCTGGGGATAGGGTTATGAAGGAGTCGAGTCGTCGAGTCTGGCATAGCAGATGTAAGAGTCGACGACGTAGCGCTCGTTCGGTTCTTGTCTGTAGTTGTTGTGCAGGGTATATTTGGACGAGTGAAGATGAGACATGCATAAGGGCCCTTGTTCCTTCGCCTTCTGGAATAGGTGCAGAGGTATGAGTATGGATGAGTATGGAAGCCACGATGTCTTCTATCTCATATACTCATCCTGTCTTGTTTTGGGATGGATTGTTTTTCTGTCTGTGCTATATATTCGAGTCAGTCGACTGGTTAAAGTGCTCAATTCATTGAGATCCGAATAAACATGTCAAATCAGTGCAAGATGAATGCACATGAGCTCTGTCAACAGCTCCGCAAGCCTGGAAGAAGCAATCTTCACGGGGCAAGAAGTACAGACCCCAAAGCGTCATGTGGCCAGCTAGCCAGTCTATTCAGGGTGCAGTGGATGGAGATCTGGGCCACTTCTGTTCGTATCCCAAGACGGACAGGAGAAAACCTACCCAATGAAGTCCACGATCAAGCCTTCTATTTGGCTGAGTGGGGGAGGGAATGAGGAAATAAGCGCAGCAGTCCAAGACGGCACAGCGGCAGAACAAAAGTGATTGGGCTTTGCTCGTCTAAGACATATCACAACAATGGGGAGGGTTACAAAGTACGGAGCACAGAACGGAGTAGTATGGGGGAAGGAGAACAGCAAGTGGAAATATTCTTAAACGTATGGTGTAGTGCACAATGATTTGGAGTAAGAAGAGAAGGGAATTGAGTTGAGAATAATCCTATTTTTCTCGCACTCACTCTCCGAAGTTCTCACTGGCACTCCATCGCATTTCGAATGGTGAAGAATCGAAAAGCAACCACACCGTACGGAGTACCGACCACTGCTCTATGGTCTTGCAGACGGCTTCAAGCTGAGGCCTCCCTCGATCGAAGCTCGACTCATCCATGATTGGCTGCCGTCCGCCCAAGCGCAAATTAGTCCAAATTAGCGACATCGGGCGGAAAAAGGCGCTCCACTGCAGTCCTGGGGTATCACAGTCATACATAATCCACCGAACTTGGCCTGATGAGACAAGGGCGGGATGAGAAGAAGAATCGCTTAACTACCGAGGATTGAAGGGTCTAAGACCGAAATCCTTAATTTGCATGGTGACCGCCTTGCCAGCCGGGCCAAAATCTTTGTCTTCCTCCGTGCTGCCGTTCACATTGTATCCTTTGACCACTGCTCTGGCAAGGATGAGAGAACCGAAACATGCTGACTCCTGTGAGAGCAAGCATCCTTGCATCGCCTTGGGAAATGTGATTTGCCTTGCCGGAGATTTTGTCACCCCTGATACGACCGTACCTTACGGTAGACTGTTCTGGCCCTAGTGTCTCGAATTGGCGGATCGACAAGAGCCCCCCGGGCCATGCACATTGCACTTGGGCAATGGGCATACGATAGCCCACTCAATCAGCTGCTTCTGTAGGTGCAAGAGAAAAGGAGCTGTTGTTATGCTCTTGGCACCCCAGTATTGGTGTCAGACTCATTTCCTTTTTGCTCCTTGGCTTCTCCATCCCCAGACTGGAAGGATGCTAGGATGAGACAGATAGTATACTTTCATTTGGAGTTATGCAATTGTTAGAATCGCAGTATTGTACTCCGTAGTGTGTGCCCTTTCAAGGGATCGTAATGGTCTTACGTCAGTGCTGAATGTGAGGATTGAGGATGAGGCGTCTTTTGGCGGTTGTTACGTGGACCGCGTCAGTGGCAGCCACAGTGTACTGGTATAGAATAGGGTTTGGTAGATTCGGTTGGAGGCTCAAGAGCTTGTGATGCTGAAGAGAATTCGGTCCGGTCACCGGACGCGCGGTTCGGAGCGCGGTCTGCTGGGTGCAGGCCCAGATATGGAGTTTACTTCCTACGGTCTCACCACCCGTGAGACGAGCGCAAGAGGAGGGGCGAGAATCCATCATCGGCTAGACCCGCGTCGTGGTCCACGGGTGCGGTGCCCGTTGGGGGGGGGGTGTTCGCTAATTAAGAGGCTGGTCAAATCTACAGACTCAGACTGTGGTCAACAGGATCAAGTGGTGAGTTAACACCAACACTGCACTTCGGATGGAACGGTTCAGTTTAGAGTGCATGCAGATGAGGGGTGGGCAGTAATAGGAAGAATAGATAATGGATGGCTGGGATGGTAGTCGACATCGGCCCATGCGAGCAGTTGGTGTTGTCTTCGTAAGGATTCAGCATGTGCTTTGTTTTGTTGCTGAGGGTGGAAAGTTTGGTCGAAGACTTTCAAATAGGAAGCTTAACGTTTGGGGCACTGGACCTGGTCACAGTACTCAATAATCACAATAAGGAAATAATAATAAATCACTATTCTTGTGAGGTTGGGTTGGTTGAACTTGGTTGCATCTCACCACCATAGCCCATGGGTAGATCGGCGGGACAAGCCTTCTATTGGCGGGGCCAGCCCTGGCCGACAGGCTGTGACCGCCAAAAATAGCAAAGATGGCAGGAGGCATACGCAAACCTCCTCCCTCCCGTGGTTCGTATATGAATTCTTTTTAATTCCTTTTTCCACTGTCTGCAGTCTATGATTGTCCCGTCTCGTCTCCGTCTTTAGTCCGACTTTAGTGGTTTTAGTCGCAATGGTGCGTTCGATGTGTTATGGGCAAGTAGACTTGGCATTGGTTGCCCGAGACAGTAGTACGTACTCTTGTCTCGCCCGCCTCTCCAGCCTTGACCACCCACTCCTACTAAGTACTCCGACAGTACTCCGTATACTCAAGCACATGGATAGTACGGAAAATGTACCGGAAAAGCCACAAGCAGATGAACAACGATGCTGAGCCGTCGGGCTTGGCTTGAGTGGATCCCACCATCTTTCATTGCCACTACGTACTAGGAGGTGCAGGCACTGGACAGGGCTGATTGTGACAAGAAAGAAACCGAAAATAATAATAATAATAATTAAAAGTCCATAGATTATTCCTTCAGTGTCTTATTGCGACAGCACTTGGTCCCAGCCTTTCTGCGCAGTCCCCTGCCTTCAGTCTATTTAAGGGATGCCCCTGCGCCTGTCATCCTCTCTGTCCCTTTTTCTTTCTCAAGTGATATAAAGTAACCCCCACGGTCGTTTCCTTTGAGGCCTCACCCATTCGCTTCAATCGCTATCTCCTTCCAGAGACATTCGCTTGTGACTCTTGATCGATCTCCATACTCCGCCTCCACAATCGCTCCACCCAATCCAACACACCTTCCAATTTCACAATGCGTTACTCTATCTTCCTGGTTGCTTTCGGCGCTCTCGCCGCTGCTCAGTCCTCTGCTGTCGTGGTGAGCAAGCATTCTCTCTTGTATCTACAAAACAACAACAGTGCTGATCTGTGACTAGGCGCCCTCTCAGCCCGCTGCTGTGACCTCCCAGCCTGTCATCCCCACCCAAGGCTCCCTCCCCGCGGGTGCTTCTAGCGCTGTCATCGGCTCTAGCGCTCCTGCTTCGTCTTTCTCGACTGTGAAGACCAAGACTACCACCGCTAAGACCGAGTCTTCCACCTCAACCAAGACCTCTTCCTCATCCTCCGAGACCAGCGGCTCCAGCAGCACTAGCACTTCCGAGGGTGCCGGTGTACCTCTCGCAACCATGGCTCCTATGGGCCTGTCCATGGTGGCTGGTGCTGCCATTGCTGCCCTCTTGTAAAAGGGGCCGGCAATACCATCCCCCCCTCGTCGATGGTCAAAGACCTCATCCGCTTCGATGATTCGCACTGGACATCGAGTTGTACATCGTGTTTACGGCCGTTTAGCCAGGCGAACCGAGCTCAAAAAACAACCTGAATATATCAACGGTTCTCGGTCGGAGGGACTTGCACCACTGATGGGAAGGCTGTCTTTTGTCTGTGTTTGATTCTGTCTCATTCCCCCTCCTGTTTGATGTCAAGGCCGATCCATGTTGCACACCAAAGTTGCATGACTGCGGCGTACATAAGAGCTTTCGATTGTTTTTTTTTCTAGTAATTTTTAATTGCCTAATGAGTACATGGTAAATAAACAAGACGATTCTCTCTCAGCAGGTTTTGGTCAATCGTACGGTAGACTCTTGCAGTCGAATCCACCTCGTGTCTTCACAGCAGCCAGACCAAAGAACGCAAAGATTAGACCTATCTTCTGGTGACGGACGTGAGCATTGTATCTCAGTTGTCCACAATTCCATTCCATAGATCCTGTTGACCTAAGTCCGTCTCCAGATATACAGAGCTCAGGCGAGAAGGTAAAAATAAATATAGTCCCATGCTTGAAGTCGTTGAAATAGTCAATGGCACTCTGATCGATAGTCCAGAGTATATTATGGAGACTCCTCCACTTGTTTAGTACTTGTTCAAGAGGCCCGGGAGGTGGTCCGCACTCGCCCCTATCCCAATCGGGACGGACACCTTACCTAATCCAATTACACTTCCTAAAACGCGCGGAATACGCGAAACGCACGTGACTGCCTGGGGTGCGAGCGCGTTGTTTTGGGGACCCAGCCGGGTCTAGTGCCGTTCGGTCAGGTTCACTAAACATCATCAAAACAAATGAGCTGTCGGGTCGTCGCTGGAGTGACTACTTGACTAGTGAGCTTATACAAAAGTACTGGGTGTCACAACATTACCAATCGCTCTCACTGAGAACGAAACTTCCGAAACAGTTCCACTCTCAGAGATCTAGACATTAGTGACACCTGGTGGTGCTAGTTCGACACCTGACTTTCACCTAGCTCTTTTCTCCCCCTTGTCTTCTGAGATCTTCTTATCTCCCTTCCATACATTGTATCACTACAGTTGTGTTCGACTTTTCAGACAGCCGCACCAAGAGCAGGCAGGATGGTAGGTTTTTACTTTTGATTTTACCGATTGCAAAAGTTTTGGGATATCAGTTTAAGCTAACGGATTTCGAAAGGTTTCAGCGAGCATCCGCCGTCTCGCAGCGGACCATGCTGCATTGCATGAGGAGCTGCCGCCCAACTACCTCTTCCCTCCCGATGATGCCAGCGCCGACGATTTGACGCAGTTCACCGCGCTCCTAGCGGGACCACAGGGTACCCCCTACTCACAGGGACTATGGCGACTGCATCTCAAGATGCCGGAGGATTACCCCAAGAGTCCTCCTAAGGCGACCTTCAAGACTCGCATCTGGCATCCCAATGTGGAGGAGTTGACGGGAGCTGTCTGCGTGGATACTTTGAAGCGAGACTGGAAGCCTACGCTGACATTGAAGGATGTGCTGATCGTGAGCTGCTGCCCCGTCACCACGATGACTGCTATAGAGGATCTCTAACCCCAATGCTACGCACGTGTAGACAATCTCCTGTCTGCTGATCTACCCGAACCCCGACTCCGCACTCAATGCCGCCTCTGGCTCCCTTCTGCAAGAAAACTACGAAGCCTTCGCCCGTCAAGCGAAGCTGATGACCTCGATACACGCTCCCGTCCCCGACGATCTCAAGAGCGCAGTCGCTGAAGCGAAATTGCGGGGTGAAGACGCGGGCACCACGATCCCGGTCGAGCAGGACGAACCCCGCACCCTGAGGCCACGCAAAGGGACCAGAATCACGTCCGTGACGATGAAGAAACGGACAACTCGAAAGACCAGCGCGAGAAATACACCCGAATCGGAATCCAGCACAACTCCTCAGACGGTCTCTGCAGCTGCGCCATCGCTGTCATCAAGCCAGCCCAGTTTACCCAAACCCTCTCTAGGCCTCACAACCGATCACCTTACCCACCACGAAAAAGACCTCCGTCACCAACACCACCAAGAACAAACGCATCCAGCTACCAACAACGAAGAAAACAACGGTGATGATGGAAACCTCTCCGATTCTGGATCCTCCACCAATGCCAGCAAAGAGAATGACCCTTCGCTATCTCCTTCCCCAGTCCGCCACCGCCCACCCCCAACCCTCCGCAAAAACATCCACGGTAAACGTCCCCTCTCGGTCCTAACTCTACCAATGGACATGGAGGACGACGACGGCGAGGACGACCAGTCCGACCCCGACGTCGAAGTCACCCCCAACCCCTCCGCTTCAGACCAGAACATCGCCGCCAACCGAACGAGATCAACATCACCATCCTCCTCTCCCACCTTACCCTGCTACAAACACCACCACAACAACAAAACCAACCCCCTCCCCACAAGAGACAGAGACAGAGAAAGAGACAGAGATCACTCCCCCTCCTCCCCCGAATTACCCCGCAACAAGTCCCCCAAACTCTCCATCCCCAAACGAGGCGCCTCCCCCATGAAAGGCGTCAACGCCTCCGGCCGCATCCGCGACGACGTGTTAGCCTCCACCCCTACGGCGGCGGCAGCGGCGACAGCAGCAGCGACAATCGACCTCCAAATCTTCGAGGACCCGTCCTCGTCCCCGGGCTCGGACGACGAGGAAACCCGCCGCCGACGTAGCGGGGACGGCAAGGAGAATCCCCTGTCCAAGGATTTCCTCGCCTCCGCTTCGTCGACCCTCTCCGCTGGAAAATCATCGCACCAATATCCCCCGCTCTCGGTATTGGGGCCTTCCACTACTGCTGCTACTCCTACGACGGGTACTATGTCTTCTCGACGTGCCGTCTCCGCGTCCGTCCCTTCAAGTTCGAAACCGCTCCGATCTATGACAATGGGCGCGAGGAAGGTGTCGGCATCGGCTGGCGGGACGGGAAAGAAAGTGAAGCCGAGGATTGGGATACGGAGGTTGTAACCTCTGCCTTCTTCCTTACTCTTCGCTTCTGTTTTTGAGGTTGTCAGCATTATGTCCATTGTGGAGCTGGTTTCACGAGACTGTTGGAATGGGTTTGGTTGTTCGTCTTTTTTAGCCTGGCGTTTACTATGTTTGGATTTGTAGAAGTACACCCCGACCCGCATGTGATAGACTGTACCTGTTTAGGTAGTCCGCTTGTAATACCTATGTATGCAAAATCCAAGGAGTGTACCGCAGTCACCGTCTAGCTGCTTGAGCGTGAAAACCGTTGAACTAATCGCTTGGCTACAATTGTACCTTCGAGTTCTATCCGACGATTAGTCAGTGTGTTGAAACATGTGCTGTTTGAAACTATGCAATATCTAATGATGAATTCACAAATGTTGCCGGTACAATTGCGCTTGACTGGCTTTCGATCTGGCCGAGATAACTACCCCCTCTCGTCACGTCACATCAGATCCGGCATCTAGCCCTCGAATCTTCATGATCAGCAACACGTAAAGATAACCCTCCATTACCACGGAGGTTCACACTTCGATCTTCTTGAGTCAGGTCCCCACGAGGCCCTGCTGCAAAGACTCGAGTTAGACTTGCCCCTGTCCCCCAGGAAGAGCTTCAGACATTATAAGAAAAAATAACACGCTAGGCTGATAAAAGCTATACGACCATGAGCATGAGGTGGTGCCCGGAGAAATTCATGCCTCGCTCAGCTGATGGAAGACAATCAAACTGGACAACCACCATCAGACAGCCACCCTAACAATCCCTAACAATCCGCTAAGCAAAGGTCAAATCTGTACTGTAAACATGTAAAACACATCCAGAGAAGACATATGATGTACGGCCCCGATTACAGAGCGTAGGGGTTAACAGAGCGGATAGTGAGGCATCTGTATCGCGATTAGCTTGAGAAATCGACTAGGAAGAAATGGTGACTGGGGAGAAACTTACGGTGGGCTCTTGCTCAAATCAGTCTTTAAAATGATGGGCACCCGAGACATCTCGGTGACATCCTGAATGTACTCTCCATCCTCCTCTCTGAGCTTGAACAGCCGGAGATACTTCTCTTTGTTCGTCAACTTAGCTTCGGGAGCATCGCCGCTGATGGTCGCAATCTTGGGATCAGAACGTGTCCGATGAGGCGCCTGGGGCAGATGGCCATTGCGAGTAGGCGAAGGTGGCATGCTCTGGGTGGAACGGTCGACAGCGGAGTTCAATGAAACACCCGCAGCCATCTCGGTGACTTCGGAAACGTCGTCATCATCGTCAAATAGAGCGTCCACGTCATCATGCGACATGGTGCCAGTCTCAGTCTGTCTACGGATTGCTTCTTCGCGCTCGCGAGCACGCTCACGTGCAGCCTCAGCTTCGCGGGCAGCAGCAGCAGCTTGAGCCGCGCGAGAGTTGGCAGGCTTCGGTCGCTCGTCCTCAGGGATATAAGCAGAGGATGGCACTCCCTTCTCCCAGTAAAGCTCCAGCACACGCGACTCCTTGCGGAATTCAGCCTTCTTCAAAGGCAGCTGGTCACAATGGACACGCTTCTCAAATCCATATTCTGGAATGAGAACATCGAAGGCAGACTCATAAACGCAGAGAACGATACCCTCGCTAATGAGATCACCGCCATGCTCTTGGCGGATTTTGTCCATGCTTCTGCAAGCTTCGATGTGAACACTTTGCTCCTGGGCATTGTGCGCAGAGTCCTTCTTGTTGTTGCAAAGATCAGCAGTCTTGTTCAGCGACTCCAGATCTTCTGAGAGCTCTATAGCACCGTTGGACAGAACAGCTTCCAGCTGACGATGAACGAGCATATCCGCGTAACGGCGAGACGGGTTGGTGAAGTGTGTATATACTGGCAAGTTGAGTGTATAGTGTTGTCGCTGGTCGTCAGATGTGCTGCCAGCCACATAGTACTTGGCACGTTGCATTGACTTCATAAGAAGCGTTTCCATACCCTATTACTGTCAGTGACGAACTTTAATATGCTCAATAAGAAGGGTGAGTCTTCTGACCTTGCGCAAATCATCATCCTGGACCTTGCAGAGACTGCTCTGCAGGGTTCCGCTGCTGGTTGGGTCCAAGCCGAACCCAAGTCTGTTCATCCGTTCAACGAAGAGCTGAAGACGACGGGCGTTGGGTGGGGTTTGGCGACGGAGGAAGGCCCTATCCGGCAAGGCAGTGGCCAAGCGACGGGCTACCAAGGAGTCGGCTTTGAAGCTGAGTTCTTCGACCATCTCACGGACAGGAGATGAGTCGAAGATATTACCCTCAACGGGCACATTCTCGTCATCGAGCTGGTACAAAAGACGGAGGGGAGGGATTTGTGAAATTCGATTGCCGAATCTAGCCTCCTTGAATCGTGAAGTGACAGCCTATTTACAAGACGATACCATTAGCTCAGCCAAAACCAGACGAGATACTGCGGGTCGA